CACAGCTGATGTTCTTGATTTCTTCTTTCTGCTGCAACTTCTTTTGAGTGGCTTCTTCTTCATTAGTTTCTGCTTCAACTTTCTTGACATTTTCATAATTCTTCCTTTTCCAAGCTATATAATTAACATAATGTTTGTTGTTTCTTTGATTTTTTAAACCAGCAATTTTTTGCAATGTGACCTTGTTTTTTACAAATATGACATATTGAACTAAAACTAGAAACTTTCGGGTTTTGCCGTGCGTAAGAAAAGGTTAGACGTTTCGAATGCCATGTTGCAGCCTTCCTCAGAAACTGGTTCAAAGTGACGAAATCGAAAATCGGGACAATATATAAGTGGGAAAACTAATTAATACTCAATTAACGCTAATTATCTTCCATATTCTGCTAAGCTCCCAGCCATCTTCTCTGTTGACGTTATTTCTATGTCGATGGATCTCTATAGCTTTTCTTGTCAGTCTTTGGTAATATCTGTTGTCCCTAGCCAGCACCCTTGCCTGTTCGAAGTCTCTTCGGTATCCCTCTGCATGGCAATGTTCCGCAACCGCCGACTGCTGGATTTTCTTACATCCCTTTCATGCTCCTTGATGCGGCACGACAAAAAAATTGAAAAATAACACCAAATTATTTAAAACATAATTTTCGTGGCTTCTTCGCGAATTGGCCAACCAGATTATTAATAAAACCCTAAAAGTTTTCAAAAATATGCTTCCTATACACATTCATCATGGGAAGACCATTGAGACCAGATTCTGCCATAGTGCTTCTAAGCCAGGTTTTATTATCCTCAAGCTGCTAAAAGATCAAGGTTCAACAGTATATGTCGTGCAGGGTAAAGTGACCAAAATTATAAAGGCTTTTCTCGTTTCAGGGAAAAAAATGTCGGCATCTTGACATCCATAACACTTCATTCTTTTGAGTCAGGTTTATCTTGCCATAGTTTTTTCCATAGGTCGATTTCGTTATTGATATTTGATAAATTGTTAAAATTGGGAAAAGACTTCACCAGCTTCCACGAGGTCTTCAAGGGACATGTCTAACATTTGAGCTGGGTGTAATTTACATAAGGAAAATGACGGGGTGTTTTGTTCAGAAAAACGAACTTCAAAAGAATTAATAATCGAGTCTAAGTATGGTATTATTAAAGACATCCGCCAGAATTCTGAGGGGCTTGCTGCTGGGTGGTTGTTCTGATGTTGTTGTCTCTCAATAATACGGGGCAAGGACTTCATGTCTTCTCCCAGTCCAAGTTTTTCTGCAACGATAGTAGCGTCCCTAATAATTCCATTTGTGACGTTTTCTGGACCGTTACGGTGGTTTTCTATAAATTCCAAAAGGCGGCTAATGTTCTGGGATGCCTTAACTGCATTCAAAGCTACGGATTGGAGCACATTTACCACAGGTTCCATCATAGCCGAGTATTTGGCTATCAAAATAAAGCTGAGAATAAACGAAACTCTAGAAGCTGCTGCATGGAGCTGATAAGTATTTTTTCCAGTCGCATTATTTATTCTTATTTTCTTCTCGTGGCGAGGTTTCAAAGGCCTCCATTATAATAGGAAAATTCTCATTAAAAACACTAATATTTTTGTGTTTCTCGCTCCACCTTGTTTCGCAAAGCTAGGAAATATTTGGTATCAATTTGCGTCTCAAGACTGATTCTTGAAAAAATGTAATAATATCTTTGATGAAAGTTCACTTCTTTCCCGGACATCGTCGAACAACCGTCAAATCCTAAACCAACACATTTGTCCGGATCAAGAGCTTTTTCTGCCGAAAACTCATTTATTGCTTTTGCAATACATTTCGCATCCAAAGCATCAAGTTTGACGAATCCGAGGAATACTTCTTGAACTTCCTTGGTTTCCAGATCCAAATATGGCATCCCATTCGAGAGTTGTTCAGTACTCGAGATGTATATTTATTGTGGTTTAATTTTTTTTTCGAATCTACCTCTGGGGGGGGGGGGCAGTGGCCCCCCTCTGCCACTCTCTGGCGACGCCCTTGAACATAGAGAATACAGATAAATCCGTGTTGTTTTGTACTTACCGCATTCTCTTTCTGCTTTCGCTGCTTGATGGCCCGGTTGATGTCCCTCGAAGTGTATCCGTTCTTCTGCAGCACGCCTCGTAGAAAGTCTTGCTTCTTCTTCAGGTTATCTCCTTCACATATTCTCGCTGCTCGCTGAAATAATGTACGGATCATGGATCTCTTCTGTTGGGGATGATGATGTGATGATGCCTGCAAATACCTGTTGTGATGGGTTTTTTTCCGATATACATCCAGTTCCATATCTCCATTTGTCGTCCTGGTGACCAACACATTTAAGAAAGGTAGTTTTTCGGCAGTTTCTGTTTCTATAGTATAGTTTCCGATTTTTCTGGTGGATTTTATGACCCTCAGAAACAGTAGCAGCAGTAATTATCACCCCGAAAAAGTACCTGATCGTGATTTATGATAGGCCCTCCTAGCAAATTAGGTCCAGGGACGCACTTTTTTTTATTTTATTTCAATATGAACTATTTAACATTTCTAACCGGAAATTGTTAATTCAAGATTCTTCATCAGTGTCATAATAACAGTTGTCACTTTCTGCGCATTCTAAGCTGTCGTAATCAGAAGAATCATCAACACTAATAATAAAACGCTGTACATGTGGCGACACAGACGCATCTTCGACATCTTTCACGTGTTTTACGCACTGCGATCACAATTCGGATGAAATATTATTACATTGCTCACGAATTATATTAATATTGTTTTTAAATATTATGTTTTTGTAATTTCCGTTAATGCGGACCTGAACAACTCACGCCGGAGATTGGGGTTCGTCAACTACCTGTTTACAACCCCGTCTTTGTCCGTTATATGACTGCAATTAACTCATAGAAACCACCAGAAAAATCGGAGACTATAAACTTAATCATCGGATGTTGAGAGTACGTACGTTTGCCATATTACAAACGTGTCATACACATATCGGAGCCATAGTTTTGGTTCCCACTACCTCTTTTTCAAAACGTCTTCTTCAAATTTATACTCCACTAGATCTGGTACGTATTCTGGTAATCCCTCGGGAATGAGCTTCTGGCGGAGACCATCCACAGCATCCCTAACTGGTACCCTGGTAAAAAGAAACACCACATCGAAACTCACCAAAATATCCACAGCATCTAGCTTTATAGCTTTTACCGATTCCACAAAATGTGTAGAATCTCTGACATATGAGATGACATATTCTATCCTCTTTTTCAGTTTACAATTTTGTTTAATGTGTCCAAATTTTCCGCATTGAAAGCATCTTATTATTTTCTCTTCATCTTTTCTTCCTGACAAAAAAGGAGTTTCTGTTTGTCCTCAATCAACAACCGTAATGTTAATTCACATATTACTTATGACTTTCTGATGATTCCATTTTGTTTTTCTGTAACTATTTAACTGGTAGTAGGCAAATGGTAGCTCGTAAACATGTCGCTTCTCTTCTCCAGCGTACTTATGCGACGTTGAAGCTACTATATGGTAATAGACAACTGCTTAATCAGCGTCTGAGAGCGCAGCTTTGTGATGCACTGGTGTTAAGCATTTTTAATTATGGGGATGTTCTATATGGCTCCTGTTTAGATGTTGCCGAGTCGTTGCGTGTTGAACGTGTGCAAAATGCATGCTTACGCTTTATATTTGGCATTCGAAAGCGAGAAAAATATCCCATACCTTAAACTGGGTGGAGTGGTTAAATATGTCTCGGCGTCGTAAATTGCACTCTGCTTGTTTGTATCGAAGAATTATTTTCAATCAAAAGCCTCCCTACTTGTTAAATAAATTGAGAAACCGCTGTGACGTGCATAACATCAACATCCGTCGTCGTTCTTCCTTGTCTATACCCCAACATAGATTGCAAATTTTTGAACGATGTTTTTCAAATAGCATACCTAATTTGATCAATAGCATTCCTACTGATATTAACAATAAATCTAAGAGTAGTTTTAAATTTTTTTATAAAGCATATCTTTTTCGGCAGCAGGGTGATTTAAGATAAACAAGCTTTTGCTTGACAGGATATATATATAGTATGTTTAAAACTATCCCTTCTTTCTTATCCTTCCTCTTCTATTTATTTTTCTTTTTCTTCTTTTTCTATTTCTTTTTCGGCTCCTTCCTTTATTCTTCTTTTACTTTTACTTCTTTCTTACCTTATTGTGTTACTGCATGATCGGATTCTGTTTATATATATTTTTTATATTGAATCAAGGGACCGATGAAAAACAATAACACCTGAGTCCATCAGGTGCATTGACTCGGTTTCCTTTGGTAAACCGCTTATTGTTTATGATTTAGTACTTCATTTTTTTTTATATATATAATTCATTTTTTTTACCTGATATTTTCTTTTGTAATTGTAAATTGTACTTTTTTTTTTTGGTTTCACCAATAAATATATATTATTATTATTGATTGATTGTTCGATGGAACTAACTCCCATGCTGATAAAATGCTTGTACGGTTCTGGCAACATGATTACCTTTGTCATTAACATTTGGTCGGAAATTGGTGCTCCTACCTGTTTTAATTGAATAGCAATCTCTTACAACTTCGCTAGAAAAACTGACATGCTTTCTCCTCCATTTAGCGTTAAAAATTTCTGTCTTACTAAATGTAAACTCACTTCAGATTTATGTTCGTAAACTGAGAGTAACTTTCCCCACATATCATGTGTATTGCCTCCATTCGTTCCACTAGTATTCCTTGTGCTTTTACGTCTTTGATTCTCCATTTTTTTAAATTTTCATCGTATTTCTCTGTACCTTTAACAGACTTCCTTTCTTCTCTTGTTACTACATCAAAAACATCCTTCGTTTTTAACTGAATTGTTGTTTGGAACTTCCACAAACTCCAATTATCTTTATTTTTCAATTTTATATGACAGGTATTTCCCTCCATTTTACTTAACCGTTCCCTCTTCACGTTATCCATGTTATATTTCAACATTTGTAATTGTTTGAGGTAACCAACTCAAAACCACGACTGAAGAACCTATTATGAATAACTATTTAAACTATCACTCATATGCAAACCCAATTAACGATTTATATATAAACCAAGAAGAAAGTAATTTTGAAGAGTATCAAGGTAATGCAAATGTATTTCAAAATCGATTCGTAATATATTTTTTTTATATTTTAGAGGATGGGGAGTCCAGTGGATCATATAAAGGTTCGTGTTTATCTAGTTAACATTGATAATGACGATTAACTTATATTTCTATTAATAGCAAACTTAGGAACTTTATCAAAACATGAAGGTAGTAATTTTTAGTATGGTTATTTTAATTTTTTGAAAATTACTATTTCATTTATTATTTTAGATCTGTTAGGTCCTCTTTACGGCATACAATCAAAATTACCTTCATCTAAAAATGTTGAAGAAACATCTTATGATCCACGTAATATTATATAACTTTACGGTACTACATATTTAATAATTTTTTTTTAGGCAAAACTGTTCACGATTTCTTAGGTAATTCTAACTGGTTAATCAGAATAAATTCCTTTCTTATCATCTTCTAGCTAGTTTATTGGGCTACAAAGTAGAAAAAGATATTTTGGGGGTTTCCAAAGGAACACTTTTAAGAAAATTTATTAAGAGAATTGCTCCACATATTCAATTTAAAGACATTGAAGGTATGCATGATTTAGAAATTCTAAATAATCTCAATCTAGGTAAGTTTAACTATAAAAGATTTTTCCCTTTAAAACACATCTTTATTTTTAGTACCACCAAATCAAGAATTTTTAAACGAAGCTAAACTAAAAATTTCATTTGAAAATTCACAAAATGTTCAAAAGCCGAAAGTATTTTGTCCGCAAATTTTTAGTTACGTGTTCGATAATGTCTTTAATGGTTGGTCAGGGATTGTTAACATCCCTAAATTCTTAACAAGTACACTTTATCACATAAAAATTAATGGATCATTCGAAAAGGGCAAGAACATGGACAAAATTATGGTGAAACTAGTTTGAGGAAAAGTACGTGTTTTTGTTGATCACGATATTTTTTAGACTCATTTCGAAATAGTTGTAACTTCTACGCCCGAAGAAATTTTAGGAGGCGATTTAATTCAATTAAGAATAAAATTTCCTAGAAATTTAGATGTTTTACCACGAATTGATAGCATTACTATAAATGATTATCAAATTTGTAACGAACCAAAAGGTAATTTAATCACATGAACAAATAATTAAAATAAAATATATATATATATTCGTTTAGAAGATGAAGAAAATCGTTTTAAACTGTCGGGAGAAATTAAAATAAAGATAATACATGAATTGAATGAATTAAAAAATTGGTACTTTGTACCAAACATGGATTATATAAGAACAAAAATTGGTATTTTACAAGAAACAAGTGGTTAAATTTTACTTGCAATACCGCAGGATAGGAAATCATAAACCAAGTCAGCTTTTACAACTTACCGCCAGTTTAGTGTAAATAATCTAACTACATAAACGGATAAAATTGGTGTAAAATGTACCTAATAATAAAAAATATATAATAATTTTTAAAATTTTTATTATAATTTTTTTAAGAGTGCTTTTAATGTATTTAATGTTTTATGTATATAATTAGAGGAGGAGGTTTGCTCCATATTGACCAGTTTTTATACAATGTAAATTAAAACTAAAATCTAACACTTTTTCTGGTTACTATCTATTTTTACCAGTTTCGGCTTACGCCATCATCAGAGACTCAATAATAAGTTTATTATTACAATCAATAGAAATAAAGGGTTTTCCAATAAGAGGTGTTATTTTGAATAGCCCGTTATTTCGGTAGATGTCACTTTTGAAGCTGTCATTTTTTGACATTTGACAAGTAGAAAGTACGCCATTAATAAAAATGGAACGATACACGCTTTTACGGACCTTACTTTTTCTAAAATGAGGCTGGAGCAACAGTTACGGTGAATGGATTGCGGTATCGAGAGATGATTAATGATTTTTTATGGCCGGAATTGGATGGTATTGATGTGGACAACGTTTACTTTCAACAAGACGGTGCTACGTGCCACACAAGCAACGAAACCATTGATCTTTTACGGGAAAAGTTTCCGGACCGTGTTATCTCTCGAAGAGGTGATCACAATTGGCCACCGAGATCTTGTGATTTAACACCTTGCGACTTCTTCCTTTGGGGCCACGTGAAAGAGAAGGTGTACGCCAACAGCCCAGCGTCGATTCAAGACCTCAAAGATGGAATTCGTGAGGCTATTGAGGACATAGGGCAGCCACTTTGCAATTTGGTTATGGAAAATTTCATGGAAAGGATATTGTCCTGTAAGCGTGGTCGTGGTGGTCATTTGCCTAATGTTATTTTCCACTATTAACGGCATACCTTCTTCTTTATAATGAAATAAACATCCGATCATTTATACTAAAAAATGGCATTTTTCTTTGAATATCAAAATAACACCTCTTATTGGAAAACCCTGTATTTATGCAGATGATAAATAC